GACTAGCAAATTGTTTTGCTCAAAGCGCATAGAAGAGGTCACAGATGGCTGTGGAACCTCCGGCGACATCGACCGGGGCTCGGTCCCCCGTCAGGCAGGCCCCACCCCTTAGTGGCAAGCTCCGCCCTCTTTTTAAAAAATGGCGGAATTTGCACGAATGCTCAAAATTCAAGCGATTTCCAGCACTTTTTGCTGAGTGAGCGGGGATGCAAGGGGCAGAGCTGCTCCGCTCATTTACATATCCATACCTTATGCATAGATGAATGCATATATGCATGCAGCCAGGTGTAAAAGTGCATAGAAACACCTTGTCCACAGGCACAGACTTGAAAAGTTTGGCTTAAAATTTGGCTCTTGTCAACGTGTTAAGAAGTTTACAACATTGCGGCGTTTGGCCTGCGCGTCGAACGCAGTTGATGCGACTGTCATGACCTGGCAGATCTTTTTAGTGCGCGCCCCTCGTTCGCACCTGCTTGAGCAGTGCCACACTCATGCGGTTTGACCGACGCATCCAGTTTATCTTACTCGCTATCGGTCAACTCAGTCGTTTGACTAGTAGCGAATGGGTGAACCGAGAGAATTTCGTCGAGCAGGATAAATATGGTGCTTACCGCTGCGTTGCGCGATGCCTTCGTCGGCATAGGTGCTATAGAAAGAGCAGGGCGCTATCCACGTGAAGGGGGTCTCTGCTACCTTCATCTGTAAGATGAAGAGAGCAAGTGAGCCCTGAAAGCGAAATACCCTAACAAGCTACAAATCATTCGAAACCTGAAGTCATGGAGAATCAAATTACACCGTCGATTTTTTCTAGGTATTTTGGGCTGGAAAATACGAGCGATTTTATCTGACCATTATATCAACTGACTAGCTGCTTACCCGGCTCCGCTCGGCCCTGTCAAAACACTGTAATAAAGGTCCCATCCCTATCCCTGTAAAGCCTTTCCCTGTGCCCACTTCTACACTTCATTTCCCGTTCCCGTTGTTTTCGAAATCAGCATGCCCTCTTACCCCCTGTGCCAACTCCCAGCCCTGTAGCTCAAACTTCGCAAAAAATTGGTAAAATCGATAAAAGTAATCGATAATCCTGAAAACTAATATTGTATTCGGAATCGCCATGCCCACTTACCCCCCCCCCCCCCCCGTGCCAAATCCCAGCTCCGTAGGTGAACTCTGCAAAAAATCGATAAAAATCGATAAAATCGATATTGATCGATACGAAAATTAGCCTATGACACGCTCCCTGCCCCGAAGTGTATGTGTGCCAAGTGTGGTCCGGATCGGTTCAGAAATAAAAATTTCTATTCCGCACATACGTACAGACAGACATACAGACACACATTCAGTTTATATATAAGATTTAGTGTGCTCTCTTTCTGCTCTCTTATCGCAATGAAGATGAAAGCTACGGAGAAGTCGATGGTCTACGTTTATTGACGAAGACCTGCTGTAACATAGTTAGTTAATCAGCGGTAGTTAGGTGTTCTTTGAGCAGAAATCTGCTTTCATTAATGGACATAATCTTATATATAAAGCTGAATGTCTGTCTGTATGTATGTCTGTCTGTATGTCTGTACGTATGTGCGGAATAGAAATTTTTATTTCTGAACCGATCGGGACCAAACTTGGCACACATATACTTCGGGGCAGGGAGCGTGTCATAGGCTACTTTTCGTTATCGATCGATATCGATTTTATTGATTTTTTGCAAAATTCGAGCTAGAGGGCTGGGATTTGGCAGAGGGGGGTAATCGAGCATGCTGATCACCCCGAAGGGGTGATCAGCATGCTCGATGCTCGACACGCTCCCTGCCCCGAAGTGTATGTGTGCAAAGTTTGGTCCCGGGCGGAGCCGGGTTTGCCATCTAGTGCTCTATAAGATAGTATACAGTTCATATGGAAACGCCACTTCGACCAAGTATCCTTCCCTTGTTAGAGCTCCCATGCATAGGGAAGCTGATATAAGATCAGTGAAGAGGGCTATCTTTCTTTTGTATGTTTAAGCTACGGGGCTGGGATTTGGCACAGGAGGTTGATCAGCATGCTCGATTACACCCCCTGCCAAATTCCAGCCCCTAGCTCAAATTTTGCAAAAAAATCGATAAAATCGATAAAAGTAATGCACGGTTTCGAAAACTAATATTGTATTCGTAATCAGCATGCTCGATTACCCCCCTGTGCCAAATCCCAGCCCTCTAGCTCAAATTTTGCAAAAAATCGGTAAAATCGACATCGATCGATAACGAAAAGTGGACTGTGACAAGCTCCGTGCCCCGAAGTGTATGTGTGCAAAGTTCGGTCCCAATTCTATTCGGAACATACGTACACGGGTCTAGCTGGCAGGCCCGGCGGAGCCGGGCAAGCCAGCTAGTTTTAAATAAAATGCGGCGTATCTCTCGCTAGAGTGGGGCTAGAAAAAAGTTGGCGGTCTACGTCGAATCCCTGTTTTCTAATGTTTTGAATGTTATATACATTGTGGGGCGAAAAAACTTGGCAGTTCTCAAAAATGGGGTGGGGATATTTACTATTAGCTTGCTCCATCCCGCTCCTCCAATGTATTGGCTTCTATAGATCACCCGAGCAAGCATTTTTTGGAGCCAGAAAGCTCAATGCCCCAACAAGCTGTATACCATTCGAAAGCCGAGATTATGGAGAATCGACACAGACCGTCGAATTTTTTCTTGCTCTTCTTAGCAGTTAGATGTGAGAGATTTATCTGACCGATACATCTACTGATCTTTAGCTGACAAAAAATTTTTTAATTCTCGTTCATTTCATAGGAAAGTTCTTAATAACGTAAGATTTACTATTCTATATGATCACTCCATATCACATTGAGCTGTTTTTGCAGTCTTTAGCAAGACTTTTCGTTTTTAGAGCATCGACAACCTGGATATAGACTTACCATAGATAAAGACTTGCTAGTTTTTTTCTTGCTCCTCTTAAGCAAAGGCGTCTATCTGTTTATCTATCTCAAACCTCTGACAATCTTAGAAATCAAGGTTTTAAGCATGTTCAAAAGATTTTTTCAAAAAAGCGTGGAAGAAAGAGGCAGCAAGAGCATCAAACATTGAGGTTCTTGAGAAAATAATTCAAATGTTTTTCGATTCTTACATTCGTTTTTGGAGTGTTTATATTTCCAAGTTACTTTATTTCCCAAAATTTAGTTAAGTTTTTTATGCTAATCCATTGTAGACGCCTTTGAGATAGTTGCGAAAAAAAGCAACTACTGTAATAATTCTCGTTGTAACTGGTAGAAACACTTCTTTTCACGGAATATGTGATTGTTTGTTTCACGACTTTCACTTTCACAGAGTGCCAGAAACGCTATTCTTGTGTGAGGGGGGGGGGACGATCAGGAGGTACGATCGGTGCGAATTTTTCGCGAAGCCATGCCGCAACGTACTTTAGCCGTTACAACAGCAGCATTCCTGGCGCAGTCTTACTTATAGCATCAAGTCATGTATCTGCCTCCACCCTCACCCCCCTGTTTTTGCCGTCGGAGACTCTATTGGCGGGGAGTCTTGGAGGCCCCAAGATTCGAGCGCGGCGTTCCTGACGTGCAGCCATTCTTGTGTACTTGTTTGTTATACGTTTACTTTCGCTAGAGTAAGAGAGTTGCGATGTGACCATATGTACTTCAGGGTTCGGCCAGAATGGGCGGCTTACATGTCGTTGCTGAGAGCGCAGCGCAGCGTGGCCCAACATTTACCTCAAACGATTAGCTGTTCGCGTTTTTGTCAAACGATTCTTTCAAATATCTGTTATATCCCCTTCCGTTTCACCTCGCAATATCTTAATGCTTCAGTACAAACACTCTCCAAATAAAAACACTCCACTATGAGTGTAGTCATGCTGTTATATTCTGATCTTCTTTCACTTCAAGATCACTATCCAATCAGAAGAGAGAGCAAACGAGTTCATATCGGGAAGCAGGATCCAAGTAGAGCCAAGGCTGCTGGCGCTGCTTTGGCATAATCGCGCGTAAAGTCGGTTGCCCTAACGTACCAATACTCCAACTGTTATAACTCATCCTAAGCGCATTCTGAATAAACAGATGATGGGGCATTTCATCAATTTGCGAAAGTTGCACATAATGTTAATTTGTAATCTGCAGGTGTTGGATTCGAAGAGATCTGTGCCAGATCGCGTGGCGACTGAAATCGCGTGAGGTATGCTCGGGACCTAAGGCCTAAGGCATACCTCCCGCGATTTCGCGAAATCGTCACATCCACGCGATTTGGCGACTTGCCAGATGTCTATAGATTAACCATGTGTGGGTTTCACATGCATGGGCGCATGGTTTCCGTAAGTCGTAGCAAATACACCAATTTTGGCCCAAGCAAAGTACGTTTACGACCAGTTATGAAGAGTCGTTGTAGTGCCAGATCGCGCAGCGACTAAAATCGCGTGAGGTATGCCTTAGGCCTAACGCTACCGAACCTGGCGAGGCGCGGTTGCCGAGATAGCCGCGCTACGGTTGGCATTGGCTCGCATGAGTCATCATAGCTTCAATGCTCGGCAGCTGCTTGCGCGCCTTTAGACCAGGGCGAGGCGGTCGATTCTGGGCAGCCGACTTCTAAGACCAGTAGATCTGGCGGTAAATGCCTCTGAGATGGCGACATGTGCCGACAACAATTGCGCGTGAACAAATCGCTACGCCTGTATTGTCGTCAATTTGCGCGAAATGCCTGCAGTGCGCAGATTTCTATGTTTTGAGCCATTAACGGTTTGTTCACGCCCTATGTCGGCAAATGTCGCCAGGCAAGAACAGTATATTCGCCCTTAGATCTACTCGCTTAGGCCTCGGCCGGATTTCGCTCAAAAGCGCCCAAAGGCGCCCAAATTTCTCTAATGTCCCTCCACTTTCCGTGTGAGGAGAGATGAGAGAAAGTGAAGAGAGGTTAGTAAAATTTGGGCGCTTTTGAGCGAAGTTAGGCAGGGGCTTTGCGTTTATAATGATTCGTAAGGATTCTAACGTGTTTGAGATCACTTTAGTTTAGGAGGAAACGCTTGAAGACGTTCTTTTTGGTGATGTGGGTTCTCCTGAGCTTTATTCCGAAGAAACACCTGTTGTGTCAATTTCGGCACTGCTGGAGGAGATGAAGCACTTGAAGAAGAATCTGCTGCATGCTCAGGAACTGTTAAGTGAAACTGAGGCGACAAACGCTACTCTAATGGATCAGGTCTGTTAAAGTTTTATAGTTGACTAAAAAGACCTCCTCACTCTTCATATTTATCGCGGATCACAGAGACCGATTTTTGCATTGTAAACCATTGGTAACCTTTCATAATAGAACTAATATCTACAGCCCCCATTTTACACCGCTATATAGACATCTGAATGGGTGCAGCTAATGTAAACAAAGTCTTCAGCAATCATTTTAGAGTCGTTTACTGAAAGAAGAGATCCGTCGTCTCCAGAGGAACGAAGAACGTCTCAGCCACGTGGAAAACACCGAGTATCTAAAAAATATTATCATCAAGGTGACTTTCTCCATCCCATCGCGCAAATTATCGACACCGGAACCACATGTTCGTTAATCTAATGGCTCTTTACTACTCGCGATGGCGTGAGGAAATAAACACATTTTAATAGTTCATTTCCCAGCTTTTATCAGGGTTGAAACGAGAGATAAGTCGGAGATGACGTACGTGACCCGAGCACTCTAGATGTTAATTTAGTTCCTCAGTCCGGAACGCGTCTCAGGCGAACGCCAGCAGTTGATTCCGATTCTAAGCACTATGCTACAGTTATCTCCCGATGAGATTGACAATCTCAATCGCTCTGCTGCCCAGGATGGTTGGTATTGTTCTTTACAGCTTAAAAACTTTGACAAGAAATGTACATAAGACCTTTGAGAGTAATGCTTCACCCCGCTTGGAAATTCAAGGATACAAGCTCTGTTTTTCACTGCTCGTTCGATTACTTCTGCAACTGAATACCACATCGTATCCCTACGAATGAGAAGTGCTTGCGTTTGTTCAGATGACATTTCTTGTTTGCCGGCAGCAGATGTGGATAATCGCAATTCAAAAGATTTCTCGGCGCAGTTACAATTAATTCATGCTCTGCGAAATAATGAATATGTGCCTTTTGCATCACAACTTGTACAAAGTCTGTTTTTCTCCAAATCGATCATAGGTAAAATAGAGCTAGAAGTATTTATTCCAAAGTGAAGCACTCGCCGCAGTATTGGTCGTTAGCGAGCGCCAAAACATGCTACTTTCGTCAGTACAAAAGAGCAAACAATTATTTAGTACCTCCTCTGCATAATTTTGTAAAAACTTATTCTTAGATGCTGTACCACCGCGCGACTCTGAAAATTCGTGGGGATCGTTGCTCCGCTGGGGTCGCCTCAACTGAGTTGTGCTCTTTGTCTGTACAATGTGCCTGGAAAATTTCCTCTGCATCTTCCACACCTACCAAGACTGATTTTCTGTGATTGAGTATTTGCTGTCTTGTGATGCATCAACGCTTGTTCGCCGATACCGTAATTTCCTGTGGATGTCACTTATCATTTCGAGTTCTATTTATTGTGTTATGTTCCATAAAACCTCGAATTCATTGTTTTGAGCTTGATGCAAATTTTTTTTACAAACGGGATAAGATTGTACATAAATAAAGAATTCTATCAATATAAGATTTTAGGAAGGTACTAACCTCACCTCCCGAGTATCTCATCATGAGTGATGCCTTCGAAAGCAGTCAATTTCTGATTCAGCTGTCATTACCGTGATCCACTCTGTACGTTGTGCAGCCTTTCATATACTATGCAATGTCGATCGACGCAACCGTCTAGTGCATAGCGACAAATTAGTCGTTTCCTGGTGCGGCAGTGGGCTATGCTAATGTTTGCTACACGTTTCACTGGGGGAATTGCGGAGCTGATTTTGACGTGGAAATGAAAAAAAGCCGATACCATCTAATGCATCGTATGCTGAAAAAGATTCGCGGGAAACACAAGTGATTCGCTAACATTTGCGAAAGCTCAATATCATCTACGGGTACGCATTTTTTTTGGTGCCAGATAGCGCTCAACAGTATTGCAAATGTAGACCGTCGGTTGTCTTGTGCACACAATTTCTCCCTCCGGCCTGAGGGGGCTGTTGTCGCTAGCGGCAGATCGATACCCCGCTTTTGCTTACACGCCGCCTCTAGCTCCGTTTGCCTCATGTCCCCATCTCCCTCGAGCTCTTCTTTCTCTTTTTCCCTTCTACTCGCATACATACTTGCGTTACTTGCATTTGCATTCTTTCAACACGTTTGTGTGGTACGACGTTTGCCATCCCAGTAGTGGGAATTTTATACTGCTTGTGCACGGGTTTTCTAATCCACTCGCTGTGGAATTAGGATTTAGCACTAATCTGTGTTAGAAGAAGTGCTTTGATGACTAGCTTACCATGTCATGTTTATTGATAGGTTTAGCGGGTGAAGGAGACGCAACACTCCAGCTTCTGCATAGACGCGTCCAGAGTTCTTTTGCAGTGGGACTATCTATGGTCGTGACCACCGCTTATCTTGTCGTATTCTTTGATGGTTTGATGACATTGAAACTATTTTACTTGGTTCAATTATGACCGCAGACTATATTTAGTAGCTCGTCATTTTAATTGGTTTTGACTCTCCATATCTTCAAATGGTTCCTTGACGATGCATCACACATATCAAGTATCAAAAAAAAAGCGACATTATAGATGTATGCTCAGCCAACTCAGTCAGATTTTCCTATTGTTCCTCGTACTACCTGTCTAAACAGCTAGTGTTCGATGCGAATCGCTACCTCTTAGCTGTGTTCACTGTAGCAGACTTCAACATAGACCATATGGAGGAGTGATGTACATGTCACTTTTCATAGTAGTGACACCGCTCTTACTGTAATGGAATGCTGAACAGAGACGATTCCCAGTTCTCAATTATAGTGCTGGAAATTAACAGCGTTTGCAATGCCAGTAAATCCGCAGCGTATCTCGTAGTGTTGCGAACACTTCAAATCGTGAGGATTCCCAAGTTCAGAGCTGACGTACTCGCAAAGCTTCCAAAGCCGTTTCGGGGGCGTGCTAATTGCTCCTCGATCGGAAAAGAGTGGTGGATTGGGCAGGCGCAATCCAATTACGACTCCCCTGAATTGCCGCGCATCCGGTCGGTCGGTTGAAATCATGGCAGGAGGTATCACCTAAGCCTGCTGCATTCGTGGGCGCAGAGTAACGATTTGTCGCTGCTTTCTTCACATAATCGTGGGTGCGACGCGCTCGTATGTAGCCAGGAACCGTCGTTCTGTGTGAGAAGTTCGCACAGACGCTGGGAAGGAGAGACCTTGTGCTGTTGACTATCGCAGCTGGTGATGGGGTTGGTTGGGTCTCATCGATGGATCAAGGTCGCCGACTCGATTGAACTTGGCGTCGTTTCACTTTAGTCGTTAGACTTATCACTCGCCTCTTTCAACGTATCTTCTACCTAATGAAATTAGGTTTATTGCTCGATTGCATTTTACGACTTTACAGACTTTTGTGTCCTATCTCGTTCTCCTCACAGATTTATCTCCTCCCTGATAAGCTTAACGACTGCGCAAGGTACTAGCTTCAATAAAATCTTCTCAAATTGCGGTAATAAACTTGCTGGAAGTCCAAGCGACCTCCATGAAATATTTGTTAAGATTTGCACTTTTTTTTACCTTTTTCTCGAATATGTAAAACTTTTGTATCAGTCTATCTCTCGAATTATATCGGATGTTTTGTACTAAATCGCGTATTGCCATTCAAGTTTTATACGAGATCATTTGATAATTACTCTTGAAGAAGCCATTTGACCAAATCTGGTTCGAAGCTGCCATTTGGCCATTGTATGCAGGTCATGCCGCATTCGTTCTAGGCAGCAAATATGTTACTGTTTATTGCAAGCTCAGCTCATATGCAGTCGTCACAGGGATCTGTATCACTGGTTGATTACCACCGATGAGTGCAAAATCGGTGCTTAACTTGTTAGGACTTGCGCACTGTACTCCGCGTACTGTAGATCACTATATGGCCATACTGTATCGATCCTCACTTTGCCGATTAGTGCAGTAGTGAGTGGAGGAACACTTCCGTCTGTCTTCTGGTGACCCGTGCTTAGCACTGTCTTCTTATACTGTCAGATTCCTCATGATTTGAGAGCTTAATTGTCCTACAAGCATCATACCTTTCATTCCAGTGGGTTTAGTCACATGGCGATACTGTCTCCTGAGTCATCAACCTGTTTCACTTTGACTGTCTAATGAAAGTCCGAATCAATTTTACGTAGGGCTGAATGTCGCAGTTGCTTAAAGGTGATGCTTACTCTGCTTCTAATCTTTTTTACGTATTGATTGCCAGAGCCAAGGCGGTGAGTTGAAGTGTCAATACTCAAGTTACTACGACAAGTGCCTAACGTTGCTGTTCAAATTGGCATGGAGACCGCTTAACATGTACTAATGCACAGTGAGTCCAAAGGAGAGCCGTGCTGTGTACCTTTGGCGACATGATTGATGTGCTGTAGGAAGTTTATGAGAGCTCCTTATGAGGTGCTGTTCATTCACTCGAATTCCACCTATTCTAAATGCTGCTATTCTGTCGTGTGAATCATATGTCAACTTATATCCAGTTGCGTATCGATCGTATCATATAAGGAGATGGTAGACTCGTAACCTACCTTCGTATCGCTTTATTTACTCAGCAACCCAACACCCGGTCCATGCCATCACGCGTTTAAGCACACTCGAAACAGCGGCACCTCTGCATCTGCCGAACTTGACAACGTGTCTGTGAACCAAAATATCAACATACATGAATATGAAGGCTTTGTACCGCAACAAGTTAGCGAAGTTGGCATATATTCTAGTTGGAGACGATATCTTATGATTTGTTCTGATTTCTGGGTGATCTGCTCTGATTAGTGCCCTGATTATGTATTACATCATTACATTATCATACGATTTCACCGCTTACCTGAGCATGCCAAGTAGTTGCTTGTTTTGAGAGTTTGGAATCTTTTCATTTTGATGTTCTTTACATGTTTTGAATCGCAATGTCACTGTGGTGCGATGCAAGTGCTGATAGTGATTCTGCCCTATATCTAACTTTTACGCATCGTATTTTTCTAAAAATTGATCATTATATTCGTGCAATTCTGCGCAGTCACGCTTTTTCAACGGACCATGTAGTTCGTTTTTGATCTTTTCTCGTCTTGCGTAGTTCCTCTCTTGGAGGAGGCTGACAGGAAGATGTGAATGTTTATAAGTGTGGCGCATGCGATTTTATACGCGGCCTCATCCTGGAGGGCTTCGCATTGCGGAGTATGTCGTTTTGCTGCTGTCGCCCATTTAACGGTGGCAAGGCTGCACCTCCGCGCTTTCGCTTTCTCCTTATCTTTGCTTCTAAGAGCCTTTTCCTGTTGTATTCACGATAAGCAAATGATTTCTGCAACAACGCATCGATACTGCTAGAGTCCTTCAGTTGTTCATAAGCATGTGCAGAATGTATTCGCTCATTTCCTCTATTACTCCTGTAGCGGCAGAGGCACATCGTCTTGTGTTTTACCTGCAAATTACGTGTGGCATATGCTGTGCATGACTTGAGCTTAGAACGACCCGATTTTCAACTTTCCTTCATGCAAGGGAGTGCGAATTGCGGGTGTTCCAGGACGAGATCTGAAGATCGCACTGCAGCTGCTGCCACTTGCTAGGCCAGGCGTCATGTTTTTCTTTCGGCGGGAAAAGCCCTTGTTTGGCCTGCACCGCGAATTCGGACCGAGTTCGCTAGGCCGTGCTCGCTGTCTTCGCCTTCCTCAACCTTCCGAATCCAACAGCCCGAGCAAGAGTATGTCGCGAGTCTTATCTGAGCCTGCTCAACAAAGGAGTTGTTCGGGAAGGCCCGACAACACATGTTCATGCTGGCGCAGTCTGGCATTGATTGTTTTGGTAGTGCGATGAACCGACCTGCATAATGCATAGTGCATATAGCGTATTCTCATTTAGACCATCGTGGTTTTGTGCTAGGCTCAGGTAAAATGTGGACTTACGATCTGCTTTTCACTCCAGCAAATTCCTGAGAGAAGCTTTGCGGAAGTTCAAGCACGGGTTCATATAAAAGGGTAGTTGTGGAAAAAAGATGTTGCAAACGTGTTTATTCATGCAACTCCGCCTCAAAGTCGAAATTTCACGCTTTGTCAAGATATTCACACACTACGCCGCGTACTCGTCATTTTTTTTTGCTCAAAGAGCATTGTAGCACGATCTTTACTCATTGCAGGCAGGCGGCCTTTTGAGCTGGCCATCAGTTTCTCGTTTGGGTATACTGCCGTAGCGGAGAGCGCAATTCTTCCCTCTCCTCTTTTTTCATCTCTCCTCCAAGGTTTTTTTATTTGAATTCCTCACAACACGATCACGATGGCTAAAGGAAACAATCCAATAGAGGAGAATACCACGGTTGGTGATAATTTTTCTTTAGCATTTTTTGTGCAATTTATGACGAGTAGAACACATTGCTCATCATCTTAAATTAGAATGAATTAGACGGTTATCATAAATAAACTTTCTTGAGAATCATTATTGATCAGTGGCCGTCGTTGATGAATACGGCCACAGATGTACAGATGTTTGTTCTGTTTACTACTGTATTTCCAGCTGATGAATGGTAACAACAAAGCGGCTGACTACGATGAATCCTTCTCGCGCTTCCTTTACAACAAGGATAGAGGCACTGTGCTGGGCAGAACGGCGAAATCATGGTGTAAGTACAGCTTGATTTTGGTTTTTGGTAGAAAGTATGGAAACAATTTTCCAGGTCAAATCACCATCTTCTATATAATATTTTACTCATGTCTAGCAGCTTTTTGGATTGCTTGTCTTGCAATATTCCTCAACACTCTTGACTCGAAAGTGCCACGCTTTTACGGTAAAGGGACTATCATTGGAATTAATCCCGGTACGTTATCTTTTGTTTTTCCTCTCTTTTCCCATGTTTGCCTGATCTTGTTCATCTTCTTCTTTCTCATTCATTTAAACAATTTTTGCTTGCACAGGGAGTCTCCGCTTTTATTCATTCTTGCTCTGATCTTGTCTTTGCTTTGCTGGGCTAGGACTTTGTTTGACTACCGTCAACCAACTCCCAAAGCGCGAGCAAACAGAGTGGAAGACTCACATATCAAAGCGAGCTTCCGCTGCGTAAACTATTTATAACTCACTTGGTGGCTGACAGATCACGGTGTAGGTCTCCGGTAGCTGGACCATGTGATTGCGTTTGTCTCTGAAGTTTCGCGTATCTAAAAGCTGTGGCGAAGCTGAACTCTAAGGTCATGGTAGCAATTTTGTTCACTTGCGCACCGCGTATCGCACATCTGTCTATGTATTTGTGCAACCGGTTGTAGCGATAGCGCTACGCATTCGGCATTATGCTTTGTTTCAAGATCGGTTGCGGCTCAGTGAAGTGTATAAGGGGAGAAACAGCGTCTCGTCGCAGAACAGTTTCCTGCTCTTTTTCTCTGATCGCTCTTGTTTAATCAGCATTACGTTGTTGCAAGTGCGTCGGGTGCGCAGATTAACTCATCCAGATTGACATGCTGACGTCATGACCGCTGGCAATATGTGAAAGTCGCGCTGGCGCTAGCAAGGGCTTAGGACTGCCATCAAAGACTTTACTCATAAGAGCGATGTGGTGCGAAATTGCCGCACTTCAGCAGCAGTAGTCAATAAAGGCAGAAGGAGGGCATGCCGGAAGGGCGGAACTCTACGTCAATGATCGTTGTTGTCCTTTAAATCAGGTTAACAGGTGTTCTAATAGTTCGCTCTCGTAAAATTGTAAGTGCGAGTAGGAAAAAATGGTGAGAGGTTCATGAGCAAAGCATTAGAGGAACTCAACCTCGCATTATGAAGAGCCTTCACTGAGAACAAATTTGTTATATCGGGGCAGTGAGTTGATTCCAAGAAAAACAGATTTTGCAACCAAAGACTTCTGTCATGGCAATTGTAGAAAAATTAGTTCGACATTAGAGTCCATCCTTTTGTGAAGCACAACTCCGTTAAGAAAGTCGAATTAAGGTGACATGATATTTCTTCAACGATGATGACAACAAAACAAACCTGTAGCTGTAACTAAATTTTATAGGCTGGATCGCTATTTGATTTTCACAAATTTATTGTGCAGAAAAAAGCAGATAACCAATAGTGTCCAGCGCTCATTCTGTTCTATGTTTTTATTTTGAGCAAACTGTTCGACAGCATTTGTCAGCGCACATAGATGTGGTTCTTCTCAAGTGTCATGTTAACTGTGCTTGCGCAATCGCTACGGTATTTTCAGCCCACATTTACGCACTTCTGTTTGCATCCGCTCGGAAATCAAACAAAAATTGTAGTCGCAAAGATATCACTGCACAAGCTGGTTTTTATGTAATTCTGGGATATGATCTTCTTCTAGTGCAGTCCGAAATCTCATTTGTCGAAATAAGTTGGTGAAAGAGGTACGGGTAGACATTGGCATTGCGTCTTGAGATCCACATGTTGTAAATACGCATCGAATCTTCTAGGCTTTATCACTTATCATAGTTTGTCCTAGAGATAGGAAATGTAGCCAGTACAAGGCACGCGCGTAATGCACTTGTCATGCATTTGCTTTCGTGCATGGCTAAAAACTGACCTACGTCATGCTGGCGTCTCACTGATTATCGATATGCCGAGGCGAAATTTGCAGCCCCAAGGTTGCTTCATCATTCGCTAGTTGTCGCCCGAATCGATCCTCAAGCGGGTTGAGCTGAGTTCTTGTTGAGGTTCAAATGAGCTGCATGCTGTCTGCATGAGATGGGTTTAGCAGACATCGGTTCGACGGCTTGCGTTTCGGACGCACACAAATGCCGCTAAGTGATTGTAAAGAAATATATACGCGTCAGCTATATGACTGTGGTGACTGGCCGAATGTAGGAGGATTGTGGTTTCTTTTCTGAAAATCAGAGAAAAATGGTATCAAGTTTGGGACAAGACTGCTTCCATGCATAGCTCTCATTTATAGAGTAGTGATCTGTAATGCTCAGCCCTATCTAACTAGAACTTTGGCGTGAGTCGTACCAGTGCGTAAGAGGTTGTGACACCTGCTCATGAAATGGAGAAGTCCTTATAGAGCAAATGAAATTTTTTACCAAACTAATGGTGTATTGTGAACAATAATGTTTCTTGACGACTTGTTTGATGCTGCTGGTACTGTTTACCTCGAAATCAGTGATGCAAAAGTGTCGTGTGCTTTTCTTTAGGTAGAGACCTTATTTCTGTTGTGAAACACATGAAAAAATCTTGAAATCACTTTTCATGGTGTTGATATCAACTTCCTTACTGAAAGTACATTCTATGCCGTTATTAAAAAATCATGTCACTTTGGCCATTTTCTAGATGTGGTTTTTGGAACTGCTGAAGACTGCTGTAATACCTAGGCGGCATAAGGTACAGTAAGGTATAGTATGAACTTCGTTTGAACTATGAATGCGTGATTATCTGGCAACTTCAATGAAAGATTTGCTCCTTGAAACTTAGGACGAAATGTGCAACCTTTGCATGCTTTCTTGATTCCTTCGAAAGGCTGTACTGAGAATTTCAAAAGATTTTGCTTTTGACGGTAACCGTGGCGCTATTGCCCTGAAAACTAAGTTTTAGTTTCTGAAGTATCATCGGAAACTTAGCTGCAACGCACTCGTAAATTTGTGGAATGTGATGTGAAATTGAAAAATTTCGTTTTTTTTTTGCAGTGGACGCAGTCACGTGCCCTTTTTATCAAGTCACGATCTTTTATAGAGATTCTAGAAGTTTGTAAAACTGCTCAACAAATTTTACATTCCATGTTTTGCTCAATCGTCAATGTTTATTTCCATTCTTATCATTATGCAGCAAAGTTGAACAAGGAAGAAGTTCTGATGAAGGCATTCTTGTTGCTTTGATGTCAGTCGTAGAATTGCTTATAGACCTAAGAAAAGGAAGAACCTCAAATATATCCATTCATCCAGCATTTGTTGCGCTGATGCAAAAGAAACCCATTACGCTTTGATCCGCTTTCAAAATGTTGAAACATTCTTCAATAACTTTGCTTCTTCACATACTCACCACGGGGTAATCTCTTTGCGTTTTCGAGGAAGAAATTTTGAGAGCCCCAGCATCAATATCACTGAAGTTGGTATTCGCGCGATACTATGATTATTAGGTTGACCATTACAGCCATTTGATATAAAAGATCCAACAGAAGGCAACAACCTTTTTTGTTCTTGAAGCTGAAAAATGGAGCTTTTCCATAAGTTTAATACACTAATGGATTTCTGTCTGCACATTCATTCCCGAGAGCATGTAACCAATCTTTAACGGTCTTCGAGAGGGTGTGTAAGTCTGGCAAATTTATCATGATCAATAAAATTGGTAATTATACTTTCTAGGAGTTGGTTATCAACCCTGGCTCAAAGAGAATCCGGAGTCAACCCTCATAAAATACAATATGAGGGATGAGCAATCGTGGCAGCCATATGTAAAACAGGTGATTTTTGATATGAGAAGAAGTATATCGCGAAATTACGTTTACAAGTTTGTTTATAGTTAAATGAGTACTTGAAGAAGTATGAAGACATCAATGGTACTAGGGACTGCGGTCCGGGAGACAATAATAGTGATCTCGTCAATGATGGTGTTTTGGTAAAGTTTGGTTTCCATTGAATGTACTATTCAGAGAATGTACCGTGCTTTAGCCATGCCGTTTTGACCTCACGAACTTCACGTTAGCCGGATGTGGGCCCGACAAAAATTATGGTTATGGAAGAGCTGGCAGCGTAAGTAAAGAAATGATCTTTTTTTGCAAGCCTTCGGCTTTTTGGGACAACTCCAGCTTTACTTCTGGTCATTTCATGCCGCTTTTGATCCATTCTTGAATCGGACTCTATTCTTGTCTTTTCGGGGATAGCAACACTTTACCCTCGCAAAGTGTTTCACGTACTCGTCAAACTTGGTCATGTGATGTATCCTGCTGCATACCAGAATCGATAGTTTGGGATCTAGTCTCCAAGCCCTTCCATCTGGAGGTTTATACGCTAATTAGTAGCTTGATTACTCACTTTCGTCAGATCATTCAGATTTGCCAGAGCGCTATTGATGAAGCGGTACCATATATGAGAAAATTTCAAAGCTTGTGCACCTTCTAGGTCACTTCTGACATGATGCAAAGCGCCACAAACATTTGTAGATAGTCTTGTCACCTTTTGTTTGCAGTTTCATCAAATTTGAGTTCAAATCTGACCAAAATGCCCAAATCAAACTCATTTGTCCCCTTCGGCTGTAAATTCTTGGAGCACATATGCGAAGTTGTATCTTTGGCTTGTGAAGAGTTGGTTCCATTGAGTTCCGCTAGTTTTTTTTTCAAATTTGTTCATCTTGGGAAGAACGTTAATGAATGCAGTATAACATCGTACTGACAAAATTTCAGCCATGTGTGGTGTTATCACTAAATCGTCTAATTGGGTGGCAGCCAGTGGACTATGCTCCGGATTCCGTGCCGGAGAATGTGAAGGGGCGCTACAAGAGTGGTTCAATTGCTATGTACTGCGATGGCGCTGTAAGTACTAGTTGCTCTGTCGATGGCTTCACGGTGTCTGTCGCCTGATAATTGTAGATTTTAGAATGATCCAGATAAGGAGCATATTGGCCGCCTAAAATACATTCCCGAACATGGAATTGACGGAAGATATTATCCTTACGTGTACGTACCCAACTACCATCAACCAATTGTGAGTGCTCTTTCACTTCACCATATCGTCCTATGCGGCTCACCGAGCTGATAGCGATCAGAAGCAGTTCCATTCGTTCGTGCGCTGTAGATGATGGTGTGGACAGTCTTAGTTGTTTGTAAAAATCTGAAGAATAAGGAGTAGTATCCTTGTGGTCTTTTCTTTCTTCTTACTTCTCCATTTACTACAGTGAAATTTTTTGCAGGCGATGGTGAAATTTGAATCACTACCACGTAATAAGCTTGTTCTGGTGGAATGCCGTGCTTATGCGCTCAATATCGAACATGATATCACGTCACGACTGGGGCTCGTTCATTTCGAGTTATTCCTTGAGGATAAAATGGTAGAGACAAAGCCATCTTCCTTGTGATTCCAAGCGAGTACAGTGCAACACGACGTGTACGCCGGTTCACGTTCTTTCCATTCGTCTCTTTCGTGTGATCCCTCTGCTGTGGTCCTCCAGACTGACCTTCCTTTCCCACAAAAGTACTCGATGGGGTCCACTGTTCTAACATTTTATTTAGAACTTTCCATTTTCTCGAGTTCATCCCCCTATGGACTGTGTTGTATTTCACGTCTCTGCCTAGCTGATCACTCACACTCGTATTTCGTGTCAGCTTCGATTCGGCCTGAAAGCCAATAGGTGTAGTATTCAGAGTTACAGATATGACTCAGAGATGATGGCGTTTTATATAGTCCCGGTCTATGTATGTCTTCCTTGTTGTTTTCACGAACGTCACCAGTTTCTTAAACCTCATCGCTTCACGTGGGGTATGCGTTCTTCCGCTCCCCTCCATGCTCACTTGTTTAGTAGTTTTATTGAGATCGACATCCTATGTCCCTCCTCGTCCCACTCCACGCCCCGATTATCTTTGTATGAAAGGATTGTATGCATTAAGCGTTTAGTAGCAAGTCTAGTTTCCGCCAAATGCGCGTAGGATACTTTCCTTAGCCTCTGGCTAGAGGTGCGCACGGTGTGCGGTGAAATGCGCGCGAACAGCGGGTGTTCCCGCATGTCGCCACGACTTGGCACGCATCCGTCGGGTCCTTGCTTACGCTGCATTTGCAAGTAAGAATAGGACTTGAGTTGTGTAGGGTGTACGATATGTATGTTTCTCAGATGTTAACCTGGATTGTTATATGTCCTACAAGTGTCTCATTCAAACAATAGAGATTTCTCTGATCGTACTTTGTGATCATGATGGTATGTTTCGAGTTTATATCTTTGATAATTCCGATGATGATGATGATGATATATTGTTATGTCAAAAGGGTTGGCGTCCGACGTTGAGTTCCCATTCCTTCCGTGTGTTGTATCTCCTTGAAAGGTTCGGGCGCGTAACCTTTCTCTAGTGGTAGATTTGTACGGTAGTGTTTTGTAGGAATGCTTATAAGCGATTTTGAATTCACATTCAGATTGTATTTGAACATTTAGAACGATATTTGATAAAATTGATTGATATAGCCGTTGCATGCTGGTTAGCTTGTTTCGCTATTGTGCATTGAGGGAAAGAGGTATGAGGGGTTGTAGCTGCTTTTCGCGCAGATGATTTGCTGCAGACCAGATCTGGATGTAATCTGCAGCAAACTTATTTTGATTTCCCATAGATAGAGGAGCGGGCGAAGGTTTGGCAACTTACACACAGGTCAGCTTTCGGCTAACCTATTCGTGTTTTCAGCATTCACCGTTCTAACGGCGCGGGAGGTCCAGATGATTCCACCTCGCTATTCCTTTGACGTGACAATAACTACTGATAGCATTCGAGAAGAGATATATGCGTATTTGGAAATTTTGTATCTAATCTCGTTTATTATCGGCAGCAGAGATATTCGAGAAGGAAACTATAGAGTTATCAAGAAGTAATGGGACACCTAGCGAATAGATGCAATTTCCAACAGAAAACTTGATTGGATGGCCAAGTCTCGGCAGTTGTTAGTACATATCAATACCTCTGATCGAGGTTGATAGATGGGAATTGATATTTTTATGAGTGACATTTCGATTTTTTTATGAGTGCTTGAAATCAAAGCAGTGACATTTATTACGACATTTCGATAGTTTTATGAATGCTTGAAATCAAAGCTCGTCACCAAGTAATTTCGAACTTCAAGCAGCAGCAGGGGTAGAACAAGGCTACCAAAGATATTTTGTCACAATGGGTGAGGGGATTGTCATCAAATCTACTATGCCCTGATGGTCCCAACGCTCAACAGAAGATGTAGCATTTAGTACTAACAATAAGAAGCATGTTATTTGTTCTCTCATTGAGATAATCAATGAGCTTAGAAATGTCGGTTGTCATCTGGGCGTTTTAGCTCTATCCATGCATATGCAATTTACCTAGACTTTTTTCTTTTCAAAAAAACGTGGGCTAAAAACATGATACCTGGCCTGAGAACCTGCGCCAAATACCACACTTTTTCGAATAAACTGCATCTTCTATATAAAATATTAAAGAACTTTCTTGCATTCGGATGATCATTAGAAAGAGCTTGAAAAGCACTTTCGAATGAGATGCCACGTCCAAAGACTTTCGAATACAGCAACACTTACGTTTGAAAAATTCTGCCTGACTTCTCCGGCGCCGCACGAAGGGTTGTACTAGGGGACCTGCAAGGTGCTGTTAGAATAATGCAAAAGTCATTCTACACAAAAGCTTCAAATGGGTGGTTGTCTACCGTTAATCAGAATGAAAACTCCAAACTGTAATTTTGGATACCCTATTATCAAGTTATTGTGCTTGTGGTCTTATGCTTATATTTCATCGGTCAACGAAGAGACTCAGAATCCTGGAACATTCGACTTCCTCGAACGCTTGTATTCTAATCTGATTTTTTGACATTATCAAAGCAATACGTCAAAAATGCATTATGGAGCGCCCCAAAGTAGCCTGGTCAAATGTGAAGATTGTCCTTGGTTTTCCTTTCATTCCTTTCCTCAGTGATATTAGTTCATCTAGTTGTATTGATTGCGCGACACATAAAGGGTACCTTCTCGAACCAATATTCAGAACTTTCCAAGAAAACTCCATAGCTTCTGCAAGGCTGATGTTCGTAATGCCCGAAAACAGAATGTTGCTAATCACTGTTTAGTCAATACTCAATCAGCAAGGCCTCCACACAAACTTTGCTGAAGAAAGATGTGAATGTGATGTTGTCCAATCAAAACTGCGGATAAAAGCATGTGTGTAGGTAACGGTGGATTGAGAGACACTAACATGAACATATAGCTCATTTATAAAATCGTGACGACGGATTTGATCGCGGTCTTTGCGCCCAAAGGAGCATAAAACGCTCATACAAAAAGGCATCACCTCAACACTTAGCTCAGTCACATCCAGTGTGTAAATGTTATACGTAAGCAGAAAACCATTCGAATAGGGATGACATCTAAAGAAAATGCGGTTGTCGGAAGGTGCGTGCGTGTCGCGCGCGGCCGCGCCATCGTCACGATTTCTCAAATGCCCTATACCTCGCAAAATGTGTCAGCTTATTATGTGGTTATACAGGGTGTCCCAAAAGTCTTTGAGCCTAGTATTTTCTCCGCTGAAAGTGCATGAAGCAACATAGAAGCATGAAATTCAGCAGGGAATTTGCGAAGAGCCTACAAAATAACATGATACACTCAGATTTTTGAAAACCCTCCTTTGGCCTTTACACAGGCTCTCAGACCCTTGCGGAATGCATGCACCATGGCAGCCAGGTAGTTGACATTGAGATTGTCTCACATCTTCTGAAGCAAGCAATCCAGACTGTCCAAAATTGTGCATGAAATAGAGTAAACCTTGTTTTCCATTACTGATCACAAAGAAAAGTCAAAGGCCTCTTGACCCGGCTATTGAACGCACGTAAATCTGAGAAGCATAACTGTGAGATTTGACAAAAGTGTCAAAATGTAGCATTCAAGTGTTTGAGAACACCAAGAAAACAGCAATTATGGTGTAGCGGAGTGACTTTAAAATGGTATTTCAGTAGGAAATGCGCGGCTTACAGCTAGAATTAGTGAGTGAAGCTGATTCGGTGCTGGACTTTCCAGCTTTTCCAGGTTTTTGTTTCCGAGAACTTTTCCTTCTCATTGACACGGCGCAACTTCAGTGTTTGTATCCTAATCCTACTCTAATGAACGAAGGCTATTGATTGATTTTACACTGTAAATGTAGAGTGAAGCTAGCTCTGCAATATGCAGTTTGAAAGCCCACAAGAGCTCCAAAGCCAAAAGAGCTGTAAATATTTGAATAGGGGGTGCGTTTCCTTCGGGTTGTCTTCGCGAATGTAGTATTGTTCGCTTCAAGAAGTATATCTCGAGAATGTACAATGTAAACGGAATGATTTTCTTGAAGAATATTGGCAACTAGACGAAGAACTCAAAGGCAAAATTTGGCTGAAAAGCGAGGAATACTAACAAAGTTACTACGTTGAAAAGCTAGGCTTAAGGACTTTTGGGACACCCTGTATATGTTGAAGGCAGTGGCGTACCGAGGGGGGGGGGGGGCGCGCCCTCCCCCCCCCCGAGAATGGGTCGCGAAATTTTTGAAAGTTACTTATATGGGTCATAAAAATGTGCAAGTAACTTGTTTATAATTGTAAATAATTAAAATAATTTTTAAGAATTTTTAAAAATTCAATTTAGCTTAGTAAAAAAAATTTTTTCGGAGGCGTGGCTGACGCCACGCCCCCTTTTTCCAGATTTTAGGGGGTTGGGGGCCCGCAAAAATTTTAGGAAGCCCCCTAAAAATTTTTCAGAGTGCGTGGCTAACGCCACGCACCTTCATTTGAAAAATTTTTTTGCCGCGCCCGCCCCCCCCCCCCGAGCCGAAATCCTGGGTACGCCACTGGTTGAAGGTTATGAAAGTGACCGTTTCTGAAGCAATAACTTGAGTTCACCGTTCAATATGACAAAATTCGTAAATAATCTCAACAGTACTTCGGTTACTCTTTCACATAGCTTTGCGATAAACTAAGGCTCTCACCTAAGCTTTCTTCACAATGACAAGTTGTCTACATGGACGTTCCGAGAGTCGAAAGAGGTGTGGCACACGAACAATAGATACGCTGGGTGTCTAAACCCCCCCCCCCCCCTCCCCCTTCGCATTGTCGTCTACCTAGCGTAGACATGACGCAAGGCCCTACCAAGCATAATGAGTAGAATATTCGTGATCAGCAAGTCACTTAACCCCTATGGATTGAATTTCAGTGATTTTTGAGCAGGGTCAAGAGTGCTGCGATCCGGGACCGTTTTTTACGACCCCACCCCTCGAAGGTACCCATCTACAGCCTTTTCCCCCACTTCACCCCCCCCCCCCCCCTCCCCCCCCTCCCTCACCGCCTCCTTCATTTCCAGCTTTTGCAGTAATGCATTAACGAATGTCGATCTCAAATAGTTGCCTGCCAATGCACCTTAATTAGATATCATAGGTAAGAGAAAGATAAACCTACTCAAATTGGGATTAACGTAAGTAATTCTTAATCGCTCAAATTCGCCTCGAAATAACTCTGCGCGAATGGATAAATAGGATAATTCTACAAAGATTCGGCTGTGCTGTATTGTGGTCGCAAAAAAGGGATGGAAAAGATATCAGTTGACAAAGGAGGATATCAACTTCAGTCCGATACTATTAGTTGAACTGGAACCTGGTTAGACACTGAATTATAGACAAAAAATGAAATAGCAACTAAGAGAGATTCGAAATTACAGAACAATTCACTTCAGTCACTATAATTGATTAATCCATAATAATTCATTTTCTGATGACAAATAAAAAATTCTTCTGCAATTCGTGAGTGTTTGGCATTGGTCATCCAGTTTAGTGAATGTACTGAGAAACAATTACAATGGTTTTGGAAATAAGAACGTTTTGTATTATAATGATAGTGTAGTTTTATCCCCGGATACTTGCAGCGTAAAGAATATTTGTGACTAGAAAACTTGATTTCTACTCTCTTTGCACAGATTCTCCTACAAACAAAACCAGCGTAGCGTTTGTCCGAGTGATGTCGAAAACGTGCATAAGCACGATACTTTAAAAATAACTGGGAAAAAGGCTGAGAGGCTGCAATGAACAGGTTTCGTAGTACAGTACCCAAACAGTTGAAAAAAGTTGCCCATTGAGGAGCAGTTGTTAGCTCGAAAAAATTTAGGTGCGACTCTAGCAAATTTTGATGCGATCCTAAATACCAAAAACTGTTATCTTTGAGAGATATTGTACCTTATTGGAAGCGCAACGAAACGGCTCGAAATGCAGTACAGAAACTAGGAGGATTTGGTTGTAATACCGCAAAATTGCAGCCAACAATCTCCCATAGCTCCGAAGAACTTTTAGATGCACCCATATATCCCTTATATCATATATCCCTTTTTTCATTTTTTGGTGCCATACATAAGATTACAAGAAAATTCACAGGCTACAAAATAAGGCCAGATTTTGCACAACTGTAGTAAGGCATCTCGTACAGCTAAATTGTATGAT